TCTTTCCCTTCCCACACATTTCGGGGACTAGCTGCAGCCTGTTGTCATTTCTTCTTCACAGCGGCCACCACCTACACCATCTCTCCAGCCTGGGCTGCATGTCTGCACCCCTTTATCTCCCTTCCTAAAGGTGTTAGGACTCCTACCTGTTGTTCTTTTCCTTCACAGCTGCCATCACCCCTCTGTTCCTCTCTCTAATCCTCATTCTGGATTACCCCGTCCCCAATCCTCTTTTGTGGCTATTCGTGAAATATGCACATAGCCCCTGCGCCTATTAAGGGTTTCATTGCTAGGCACCAAAGAGAAGCAAACATGAAGCAAAGGGGAAGCAGAAAGGGGAGGGCAATTTAGAGATGGATGGACTTCTTACGAGAACTGGACATCTGTGGTCCACACTGACTCAGGTGACTGAGCTACCTTCTTTGACTCCCTTCTTGGATGGCCCCAAAGAAGTCTTCGTATTCTCATTTTCTCCATCCTTTAGCTCTGGTTTTAGAACTTAGCCATCTTCCCTCTTCCTGTCTATTTGGGGTATGGTGCCCATGACAGCTTTGCTGAACACGGAGTTTCCACTAGTCAGGAGGGGACTGCCCTTCAGTCCTCTCCCCTCCCCAGCTCCTCTCTGTACCACCGACTCTGCCCACTCCCAAAGCCCCATCCCCTCCACTTGCCAACTTGACAGAGGCCTTCTCTTATAGTGGCTTCAATATAAAGAAGTACAGATGAGTATTCATTATTTCACCCAACAACTGAAGGTCCTACAGGCCAGGCTAAATGTAAACACCCTTTAGTAGGCAATTAGGAGCCACGAATGATTTTCAACCAGGGAACAGCAATAGAAAGTATCTCACGTTATGCCTAGACCCTCAATTATAGAAATATTTAGATAAATGTATAAATGAGTGAATGAATAATCATAACTGTGTATTGGGAAGATAACTTTAGCAAATGTATGAGAGGCTAAGGGGATTTTTAAAAGCCCCTCTAAGCCCTGGGCTTAAGCCATACGCTAAAGTAGGTGAAGTTAATCTCTACTTCCATCCTGTAGGACTCTGCCATCTGACTGGTATGACTGTAACCCCCAGCCTCCTAGGCTGTGTTCCATGACTAAGACTTGCTCTCCAGGGTCATTACTCAGCACGAAATATATTTACCTGATGCCTGTTTAAGGCATTATCCGCCCAAAATAGGGACAAAAAAAGATATCTCTCATGATAGAATATCTGTCACAGTAACAGGCTCATGGGGGAAACAATCAAAAGTAAGAGCGACCATCTGCTTTCATCCGAGAGAACCAGCATGGGCAAAGTTCAGCCCCAAATCTATTAGACAGAGGCATCCCTGTTTCCCCAACAGTGATTCCGGTAGGTCCGAACAAATACGCCTGATTCAGAGCTTTGGGAATCCAGAGACCTTCCTAATGGTGAAGACCTTCTCCATGGGTAAAGGAGTGGCTGGGCCAGGACAACATTCTGAGAAAAACAAACTGAGAAAGCCAGCAGCCTGGGCAAGCTCTGGGGCAGATGACTCCAGGCACAACGAAGATACAACTAAGATAATGACATCAGGAGCTACCATCACCCCAAGTTAGAGCCCAGCATCTACAACTACCCTACCAGCTGCATTTATTTTCTTGACTTTTCTCCCTCTTCTAGCTCCATAAACTGTGAACTCCTTGAGGGCAGAGACTGTGGGAAGTTTTGTCCAATGCTTTAAAGTCCTAACCCATGTCCATTTCCCATCAAGAACTATCCTAATAAATGAACCTCAAGTTGATCCTTCATAGGAGTCATGCCATCAGAAACAATAAGTACCATCATCAAGGACCACCGACATTGAGCTTCTCATTTTCTCCCTAGGAGATTATGCTTTCTGGATAAGGGAAGGTTGAGTAGAGCTGCAAAGCTGGAGAAGGTAAGTGACCTCACGATTCTACTGTTTTGCCCAATTCCTCTAGAAGAGTGAGCCTGCAGAGCTCTGAGCATGATTAGAAGGATGTGTGTGTTTTTGTTATTAAAAACAGAACAGTCCACCCACATCTTCCTTTGTGCCATGACACCTGCTTGTAACCTCATACTTGGATGAGTGGCGAGTCATTTGAGAAGCTGAGTCCTCTGACTTCCATTTTGAGATGAGTCCTATATGCAGCCAGGACTTGCTGATCAGGGAGCATGCAGGCACTCTGCCTTTCCTAGGGATAGGAAGAAGAGAAACCACAGACCCAATCCTCTCATTTTACAGATGGAGACCTGAGGCCCAGAGAGTACAGGTGACATGCCCAAGGTCCCAAAGCAAGCCAGTGGAAAAGCCAGGACTGCATCACGGTCTCTCAACTCACACTTCAGCGTCCTTTCGACTGCAGTAGCTTTGGCAAAATTTTCATTTTGCTCTTTGGAGAAGTGAAGAAAGGTAGGGAGCAGAATATTACGTTTTTGGATTCTCTGCAGACTTCAGTAACTTCTGTTATCCTGGCCTCCACTGTCCTGGCTGTGGCTGCCTCCTATGGTAGCCCTTCGATGGAAAGTTGGGTCCTAAGCCAATTAGTTTTGAGTTGGCTCAGAGTTCCTACCAGGGCTGGTGTGGTCCCCTTGCACGTGGCTCAGGACCTCTCGGTCTGTAAACAGGCGGAAGGCAATCTGCTCACACTCCCGCTTGGTCCCACATTCAAACAAACACCCAAACAAGCCCTCCTTCTCCAGAGCAGCCAAATCAGAGTAGCCACAGGGCCCGCAGTGCAAGATCCAGGGACGGGACCAGCAGGCAGCCTCCAACGGGCTCTGGTTGAGGTAGATGCCTAGGTCGACCCTCCGGTTCTTACTGGTTGGGTGTGAGTACAAGAGCCATGATTCTGACAGGGTTCTAGCTTCTGGCTCTAGCCTCAGTGAGCTGTCCAGCAGATGGCTCTGCTGAATGGTAGGAGCATCTTTGCCAGCAGGGTGCTGGCACCCATTTGGGATCTCCAGGGACCGGAAACTCACCACACTGCCTTGGCAGCCATGAGGGGGCTCACAGAGCTGTTGGCTCAGAGCTGGTTTCTGAAAGCATTCACCATGGTCGGTGCTGAGAGCCTCTGCCCGGCACCTGTTTGGTGTCCGGGCACTGCAATACAGCACAGCGTGGCCAGCCTTCCCAGTTACCTCTGCCACTTCGCACTCCACTGTCACCATGGGCTTAATAAGCCTGCCATGGTGCCATGTGGCTCCTAGGTCATCACTATAGATCATCAGGGAATGAGGCCTGGCTTTATATGGTAGCCGAAAGCAAAAGAACCGGTAAGGGATGTAGTAGGCGTATGCAGGGATGATCAGCCTCCCCGACTGCAGCTGGATGCCATGACCTGGGCCCACAGCAAACGTGGCCCAGTGCTCCACCTCTGGGCCAATGACCTCCTCAGTCAGGTCCCTCACCTCGCTCCATGAATAGCCAGCATCCTGACTGCAGATGAAGCAGAGGCGGGCAGCATTCCTG